AGAGACAGAGAGAGCTCCTACTGCAGCTTCAACCTGCTCCTTTCCCTGTGGGAATCCTGCTCTGCAGTTCTGGGAGGAGACAAATTTTTAGCCCAAGGTTTAAAACATATAAAACTTTTAAGATTTAAAGATACACCAATCTGTCACCCCATTGAGTCCCAGCAGCTCTTGCCAGGGACCCACAAGTGCTGCATGCTGGGTGCAGGCACAGCCCTTCAGAGATGAAGGAGGGAGGACCAGCACAAAGCTATTTGGAACAACAAACTGAGCAATCCATTACCCACATCAGGCCCAGCACTCATTCTGAAATAGGTGTAAAAATGCATCAGGATGCCAGCCTGATTTCCTTAACTGAGTCTGTGCCCCTGAGGTCAATAACAAGGAGGAGAATGAGCACATTTCTGCACGACTCGTATTTTCTCCTGTAATACAGGAGACTGTTTTGTGGAGGCAAGAACAAGAGGCTGATTGCCTTTTATTAACCTGCTGGAAATAGCCAGGAAACTCATTGTGGATTTTGTAAATGCAGCTGTCTTTCTGAATATCCTATCTCTGAGCAACAACAACATTCACTTCGATACCTTCTCTCTCCCATAAATCATTTACAAAAGGGCCCTGACATGGCAGGACAACACAAATTCTGTGCTGAGGCAATGATTCCAAGTAGTGATGGAGGGGAAGAAATGCAGAAATTTAGCTCAGGGCAAAAAGAACAGCCTTGGACACGGCTGCAATGCAGGTGATAGGGTTTTCTGTGGGGGACACTGCTCCCCACTTCCTGGGACATGAGGGAAGAGGGATTAAGAGCATATTTACTGCAGTTCCTCCAGGCCTGCAGGAGAAAAAGGTCTGGGCTGTCCAGTTCCAGAGGCTGAACAAGATGATTCAGTCAGAAAAATCCTCTGGGTTTACAGAAATAATCTCTGAACCAGTGGCCATGGACAGACTGCTATGAAAATTCCATCAGTTATGTTAACATTTCTGAAAGTCCATTTGAAGAAGCTTAAAAATGTGATATTGAAGGCTTCAACAGTGAGTAACAAATTCAAAACACATCCTTGGTGCAATGAAACAGCCCTTGCAAGGGACAGAATAACTCAAAATCAGGTTTCAGAGATGCTTTAAAATTAATACAACATGGGGTTCCCAGCTCTGTTTCATTGAGTTCCCTCGCACAATTTCTCCATTTGCTTTCTGACCCCACACCACATTTGCAGCAGAGCAGAGAAGCAGTTCCCTGACTGCCTTGGCTGTCACACAACAGCTCCAAGGGCTCTTGCCACTGCAACACTGATGCAGTAGAGAAGCTGGGTCCTCTCAGTGCCATTCAGTAAGAAAGCTGTTAATTTTTTTTTTTTGCATATACAACATGCTGAAATCGATAACYGTCTAATCTAAATTGCTTTCCTCCACCTTGCTTATCACAGGATGACAAAGCAGGCTCCACAGATGCACCACCCTCAGCTCCTGGACACTGCTGGATCTGTTCCTTCCAAATCTTAAATCTTACCTTGAAAGAAAGGCTTGATGCTGCTTTATCGTGTCCAGTTCATAGGTGGATGAATCACTCCTTTTTCGTGGCAGCTGCTTCTTTGGATCCTCTCCATTGCTCCGAGGAATATCAATGTTGCTCCTGCTGAGGTGTCTGCTGCCTTCCAGATTAGAGCCACTGGAGCAGTGGCTGTTGTTCACTGTTATTCCAGGAGACAGAAGATCSGTGTCCTGGGGTTTGAAATATATGGATTTAGCTGAATTAAGAGTAATTCTGTATGYTATAATGCTCACATTATAACATCTCCCTCTGATTCTCCTTTATCCCAAGATCCATTTGAGGCCAATACTTAATCTCAGGCCAAACTATTGTTTAAGGTGTGGGTGATGCTTCAGTAGAGGGTGAAACATCCCTGTTTAGAGCAAAAGCACCCAAACTGACCCCAGTGCATCTTCACACGTCTGCCACTGATAAGGAATGCAGTGTTTGTTGTTTCAGGAGGTTCTCACCCAAAACAGGGTCCATGGAGGAACAGAGAGCTGCCCTTACCTGGACGCTGACCACGCTCCCTCGCCGGCTGCTGTTCTGGCTCTCGGACACGGTCTGATTGCTGTAGCATAAGGCATCAAATCCCAGGATCCCTCCAACACAGTCCCCTACCAGGCACACCTGAGACAGGCAACAGAGCAGGGGAGGAGAGGGAGGAGAAWYAAAAAGGAGATTTTWAAAAAARYCCCTTAACTTCAGYTCAGAACTGACAGCTGGCYGGAGYGCTGCATTACAGSTGGGCAAGCTGGACTAACAGGATGCCCAGTGCCTTCATCAGTTAAACTCCAGCCAGAGAACATCCATCACAAATTCCCATCCTCTCACACAGCTCAGGTGTCCTGGCTGTCCCCACTGAGCTGCCAACTRAGCCCTGCAAGCCAGAGCCCTGATCCCAGCACTAACTCCAAAAACCAAGCTGGATTCCCCCTTGCCAGCTGTCTGTGCTACCTCAGGGAAGCTTCCCTGTGCTTCTGCCCCCTTTGTACCCGAGGGTAACACTGCCCTGCCTCCAAGGGTGTGAGCAGAGAGCCACTAAAAATCCCTGGGCAGGAGAGGGCTGGCTGGGAAGAAGCTCAGGGTGGATAAATCACACCACAGCAGCACAGTGTGACAGCTCCTCCAAGGTCTCTGCCCTCGTGAGGCTGGGGAGTCACTTTGCTCAGGGGTGTGAGGCTCAGTCATGCTCTTTATGGGATGCAGCAGCTGAACAGCCTCAAAAAACAAACCCACGGGTGTGACAGGTCCAGCATGAGCTGGTGAAGGTCCTTTAAAGCCAGGAATGCTTAAACAGCCTTGGTTTGCAATGGAGAAGAGACCACATTTAGTAACAAATTCCTGCTCAGGAAAGGTGTGTCACGCTGAAACCTGATTAACTTCACAGCTTTGTAGCTTCATTGCTGAACACAAAAATCAGACCTTGCTTTGAATCCCAAAGGTTCAGGACAGCACAAAAGCAATAATCTCTCTCTTTCTCAGAAAGAAAGAAATGGAAAGCACAACACTTCCTTATTGCAGCCCAACRCTGTCATGTTCCCATCCCTCCTGAGAGATTTAAGGCAAAGAGAAGTTCAAAAGGAAATTGCTTCACTTGTTCTTCCCCTGGCTGTGACCTGAGCAGCCCCTGGCTCACCTGGCCRTTGAAGGAGGTGCCCTCCTGGGATTTGATGAACTCACTGTAGGCCTGGTTGGCTCTGACAATGACAGTGGCCACGGCTTCTTGGTACTGCGGGGAGGAYGTGGCGAGCAGGGGCAGCGCAGCGAGGGGAATGTGATCCTGGCTGTTGGACAGGCAGCCCTCATCATAACTGTATGGGCTGAGGCTGCAGAGGGTAAGAGACAGTGGCAATAAGGGGAAAACAATTGGCAGGCAATACAGTCAAGTGTTGTGGCTCATTTGAAAAAAAAAAGGCTCAAAACAAAAAGGCCATTTATTCCTCTGTGAATGGGTGAGAGCTTAATAAATCTTTCTCTCCCATCAAATGTAAATCTTCAAGGACAACGTACTTACACTGACAGAACAACCCCCAGACAAGGAATTAAATCCTTAGTGTTTATTGGATTAATTAGAATAAATCAATCTCAGAACTTGTGYTGCATGATTATGGTATTCACTGCAGCTAAGTATGAAATCGAGATTGAATGCCTTGCTCATACATTAATAAATGCACTCTCAAAGCATGGTCAGAGCTTTCAGTGCTACGTGCAGAACATCTCAGGGAAACAAATAAAACAAAAAAAATAAAATTTAAAAAAAAACAAACAAACAAACAAATAAAACAAAAAAATCAAAACACCTCAAAAAAACCCCATTCCATGATAAAATAGCATCAACTTACCTGGACACCAAGGAAAACGCTTCGGAGCAGATGGCTGGGCAGGGGACAAGTTTGATGGCAATGTGGCCAAGAGCAGCTGGGTAATGCACCCTCATCACCGTGTCAAACACGGTYGTGATGGTGTTGACATCCCCTTGTTTGGAGCTCTGGTCACCACTTCCTGAGTCCAGGATGTTCCCTCCGTGCAGGACCAAGAGGAGCACGTGGATTTTACTCGGCTGCATTAATGGCTGCACTGATTCATCCTAGGTGGGGATGGAAGAGAGAACATAGAAATGCTCGTTTTTCAAAGGGGTTTGACTTGTGCTTAATTAATGGCAAATTAATTATGGCAAAGACCAGYAGATACACCAGAATACCAGCTGAGAACCTGAGTCCTCCTTCCAGGTCTCCTATCCTACACTTGTGCATGCACAAATCCACACACAGACTTGTCAGAAGCAGAAGGAATGTTGAAAGAAAAAAAAAAAAAACTGCACAAAGTTGTACCCAGGTAAAACATGGCTGCAGTAAAGGCATTACTTGTGTGTATTAGGGTGGAAAATGCCAAAATAAGAGATGGGTGTTGGTTTTTGTGGGGTGCTGAGCTCAGCTGCAGCAGTTGGCAGTGAAACACATTCAGCAAAATTAACAAACGAGATCCAACAGTTCAGTGAGAGGCAAATTACTGAGGGGAGAAGTTGTGGGAAAAGCAGTCATTGSATGTTTGCCTAAAACAGAAGTTATAAACAACACTCCAGATTTGCTTAAACTGCTGCAAGAGAGGAACTGAAAAAAGTGCATGAGCCCATAACCCAAGGAATGGCCAACAGGTCCAGGAGACTGCAGCATGAACACAGTGAGGGATTTTAATTTGGCTGTCCAGGTTATTTGCTTATTRTGCCTAAACAGGCTGTAATGTGGGGGAAGGAGGGAATTGCATCCAGAGTGGGTTATCATAAATGCCCTGCCAGAAGAGCTCTCAGCTCAGTCCTGGTGCCCCAGGCAGGCAGAAGAGCATCCATTCGCATGTGCTGTAACACAACAGAGCAGTAACTATTTCTAATATCTGTTTGCTACCAGGGCTTTCAGTGTTTACAGCTCCCACACAGMCTCCAATCCTCCATCCCACAGCTCTGAGATCTGTGCAAACAYTCCTGTACCTGCCCCCTGTGCCAGCAGAGACAACGTCTGAGAACATCCTGAGCCCTGAGGCAGAGAAACAGCCACAGAGAGGGGATGCACAAGGGGTGGAGGGCAGCAGTGTTTTCCATTTGGCARATTCCAATTGTAGCATCTTTAGTCACCTGATGTCCCTTGAGCAGTGATCGATCCCTGACAGACCTGCTGGTGGGAGGAAAGCGTGCCCAGGCACACATTAGCAGCCTAACAACCAGATCACATTTTTACCAGATAATGTTAAAGCTTGTCTTACTTAACAGCCCACCACAACTATTAAAATTCACATCCAAGGCTGTAATAACGATTTTTCCAGACCTCCTGCGTAAGAACGGCCTTTAATAATTTAGCACCATTGCACTGTATTCATGCCTGCTCYTGAAACCTTCTCTGACTCCACTTTTAGCACCTGCACAGTGAACCTTTCCTTGGGTGGGGGCACAGGAGGAGCCCTGGAAGTGTCTCAGCACCTCTTCTGCTTCCAGACAAGTATTTTAAGTGCTTATTGGCAGAATAACATGAGTCACCAAGCTCAGGTCATGCACAAGTTTATCAGCAGTAATTTGGAGGCACCTTTCAGTTCATTACCCTCTGCTCTGAAGGAAGTGGGGAATTGCTGATTAGTTTAAGGGTGGAGGTAACTATTCAGAACTTCCTTGTAGGATCTGGAGCCTCTTAAAACACCTAAACCCTGAACCACCTTCTGGCGATGAAGAATTTTAACCTGAAAATCATTGCATAGGAATTTCATACTGTTTTAGCAGACAGCTTGTGAACAACTACAAATRACTGTCTTTTTCATCCTGCTTTGAAGCCTGTTCTTTTTCTAAAATGAAAGCAGAAACAGGAGGGGGTTGAGTTCGCACAACCCTCTGAGGAAGACAAGTTTTCCACACCATGTTGAGTTCCAAGAGAAATCTTAGGGCTGTGACTTGCTTATTTTGAGGTGGCCAGAGCTGTTCCCCTCCGAGCCACCCACTCTCCTCATGGCCCTTGAGCTCTCAGTCTGTTGTGGAAAAGCCAAACCACCACGAACTTACAGACAGTAATTCCAAAACCATGCTYGTGGTCTTTGACAGACCATAATACAGGCACTGCAAGCAGCTTAATCCCATCTGAAGCACAGAGGGACACACAGAGGTGTCCCTGGGGCTCAGCAGCACATGGACAGCAGGCATCACTCACAGCAAAGGGAGGAACCCGTTCCCCCGTGTACCCCACAAGGACACATCCCAGCACACAGGATCTCATTCTGAGAACCAAAGCACTCACCTCGATGATGCTGAGCCTCTCCACGCTGGAGCCAACCTGGTACTCAGCTGGTGTCTCCTGGTACAAGTCACCTGCAAGCACAGGGTGTAAAATATCAGCGCTGCCAGATGCTCTTCGGTGAAGAAACTCTTCCATAAAGACTCTGCCTGTTCCAATGCCTCACATCTCCTTCATTATTTCATCAAATCACCCTCTCCCTCCTCTTGCCTCCTTCCACCTGAGAAGCCTGGGCAATGCTGGRTCATTTATTTTCCAGCAATTTCTCATAACCGGGGTAAGAGCTGAGGATATTAGGGAGCTCTTCTCTCATTACAGCGATCTGGTACCGCTGCTTTATTAATGATGGCAACAATGGGAAATCCCTGCACAGCTGTCAGAAATGATTGGTTTGTGGGAAAATAAAAGGAATTGCTTGAACTAGGCTGGGGAGTAGAGATCTGATGTATTCCTACATCTGTGCCCACACAGACTGACTTTGTACCAGAAAGACTGAGTGCCACCTTCTACCACGAATCGCTCTGGTGAGGAGCTGCAGCTTCCTTTCACCACTTCATAATGATGAGCAGAAAATAAAACTGAGGCAGATACAGTCAAGAACAAAGCAAAAGGAAAGAAGAGCCAGGAGAAATTCAAGTCATTTGAGACAGAGTTGGGATATTTCATCATTATATGAGAGAATCCTGGCTGTCACAAAAGGGAGCCAAACCAATGTGGAAAATAGAAGAGAATCAAAAGCTATCCCAGCTCCCACTGAGCAAATCTTTTCCRGCAGCACTGGGCAGTCATTTTTATGCTCTCTCTCAGCTTCTCCCTTTGTGAGATGAAGATAACAAGTTTTCCCTTGTTCAGAATGAGGCTGTGACAATTGCCTGGAAATACTCTAAAATAGCACATGCAGTTCATACTTGGAAAAGAATTACCCTGGACATCATCGCATTCGGCGGTTTCAATTTTATCCATCAGGTCGTTGGAACTCCACTTGGTTATTTCTTTCGGGAACATTTCCTCATTGTCAGACAAGTCCTCTTTAAAAAACASATTTTTTGAGAGTCACACACACAAAACAGACAAGAGCACAGAACAGAATTTTAAATAAAACCAAGGCCCCACATCTCTGCAATCTCTAAACATTTGGATAGCTTAAGTCAAAATAAACCACATACTTTACCAGTTTTACCATACTTTTGCTATGTACAAACCAAAGCACCTTTCGAAAAATAAACAAAATGTTTTAGCTGCACGATTTAAACAAACAAAACTCCTAAAACATGGAAAAAAGTAGCATGGATTTTGAATGCCATCATCTAAGGTACCACGTTTGGCCTTTATTTCTCAATTCTCTCTGATGGTGCTAAAGCAGCCAGAATGCTCCAGCACAGGAGAGGACAAAGCAAGGATTCCCACTGGGATCCTCCCAGAGCTGTGGGATTTTTTTGGGGGAAGCAGGGACAAGGATCACAGCTGCTCACAGGATCAAACACCTAAAAAGGGCAACAATGGGAAGGTGAACTCCCCAGGCTKATTTCCTCAGGAGCTGAGACACTGAGAGCATGGATCTGCCATTTCCTTCCTACCTCGGTGCCTTCCAAATCCTCTGGCTTATTTACAGTCAATAAAAAATAAGGGTCCCAAAAMCATTATGTTCATAAAATTATAATTAAAAGGAAGTGACATACAAAGGGGAACTCTCTCCTTTTTTTTTTTTCCATTGGGGATGTATCTTTTGTGGCTATGAAGGTTAAGTGCTTTCTAATTTATTTATTCTTCTGTGCTTAGTATTTCTTTCCTGAAAATTTTGGGCTTGTAAATTTAATAAAGAGTTATAAACGTAATAACAGCAGTAATTACAGATGTCTTGAAGATCTAAAAGCTGTAATCTTCAGAGTCCCAGACTACGATTTCCACTTTCTTATTACTGTACAGTTACTAAGAAAATAATTAGCTGGAAGAATCCCACAAYGGGGAACGAAAAAGGTTATGGAATATATTAATCTTTTCAACAAATCTGAGCAATAGCTTAAAAAAAATTGTATGAAGGGCACTAAGTGAAGATCCAAGCAAAGCCTGATTATTTTTAGGAACTTCTATTTCAACTTTGACCATAAAAAGAGAGCAACCTGGAAATTTTGCACCAGCATGCCATTTCCTTTTTCAGCCATGGAAAAAAAATGGAGTAAATCCCAATTTCCCTGCAGAAGGGAGTGTGGAGCTGCCTGTCCRGAGCAAGTGGAAAGCACAGGCCTGTAACACACGTGCTGGCAGAGAATTAAGACCACGATTGCACTCAAAGCTCCTCCAGCAACTTAATCTAAATATTAAACTTAATTCCTTGAGAGGTCTAATTACAGCCCTKACTGCTGCTCAAGTGATCCCTGAATGGGGTATTACTCCCATTATTAGCATTTATTACAGRATAGATATTTGATATTACTGTATTTGTCACCATCTTTCCCAGTGAATGAGCGTGAGTGGGAAGCTGGAGACAAGGAATCTTCTCGGGCTCAGGTTCCACCCACTGCTGGGTGAGGAAATGTGTGTGTGTGTGAGGATGGGAAGCTCTTGTGAGGAACTCTGCTGCTGTTGACTCACATCCTGAGCCCCGCAGTTCCCATGGCACCGACCCCGGCAGGATGAGCCGYGAGCGGAGCCCCAGCCCTGCTCACAGCCCCGAATCTCTGCGGGCCAAGGGCCACCAAGAGATCCCTCCTGGGGACAGRGCTCTGCTCAACACACACACTTTGATTAATGAGCCAAGATCCCACCAGATTTAAGCAGACTTTTCAACCCCACTGTGCCGACTGCAGAGGACAAACTGTGCGCACACACTGAGATTCGCTGCTGCTCGTAGGAGAGCAGCTGCTTTTACTCTGAGCAACCTCCTACAAGTATTGCAACAGAGGTGCACAAGGCTCGTTTTTGTTAATTCCCCTTCCCAGACCTGTTAGGAGCACGCCAGGGATTCCCTGGGGCCCTGGATCCCAGGCAGAGCAGTCTCCATCTCAGTTTTATTACCGAGTAATTAAAAAGGCAAAAAGCGTGTGGGTAACGATGGTGCCTTTTGGATGASTCACTCCCCTTCTCTTGTATGGATAAGGCTGCAATAAATCCCTCACATACTTGTTGMAAATGCCACATAAGTTAATGAATAGAGACACTTCAACTAAGTTGTCCCTTCTCCTTCCTGGCAGGAGACACACGTTTATCCCAACTTACACATGTCCTGGMCATTTCAGCTGCTGTTGGGCAGATCATTACACATGACTTTCTACCCCACAATCTGAGATCCATGCCTAAACACTGACGGAGAACTCGTCTGGAACATGATATCATCAGTTTATGGAGGTTGAACTTAATCTGAGCATCAGCGAAATTCTGCTTTGCAAAACTGGGGTGTCATCTTTTAACATCTTTTAACAACAGCATTTCCCAACTTCATCAGCAAATACTGCACCTCTCACTTCCAGCAGACCAGCCGGGAGGAGAGTCCATCTGTCAGTACAGACAGAGMCCTTCAGGCTTAAATTTGCATTAAGTACAATACATAAAATGAGTGCAGTGGAACAAAYCTTCTTCCCACACACATGCACAGAGGGAAAAAAAATATAACAGCGTTCTCTTAATACAGATAATCAAAACTACTTTGGGAATTCTGGAATCAACACTGATTAATTTTGGCACATGAAGTACCTTGTTGCATTTTTGTTCTAATTCTTGGGATGGTAGAATGAGGAGTTAATAAAAGGCAAATTTGGGTTTCTTCAGGCCCAGACAGGATAATTAATCATACCTCTTACTGATTAAAAAACAAATTAGAAAAATAATCAGTCACAGTGAATCATTAGGACACACCCACAGCCCAGTTAGCACTGCTGAATTTCACGCACACTCATTTGCACCACATAAAATACAGCCCCAAGGGCTAAGACTGTTCAAGATCCCCTCAAGCAGCTCTGACCGYACATGAAATGGTGCTGCATTAAATCTAAGAGTCTGCTGGGTGATGCTGGAAGAAGCTGAACCGAAGCTGCACACCGTGCTTAGAAAGGGAAAGACTTCAAAGCAAAAAAGTCTCGCTTCCTTCCCTGCTCACCCCCCGCCCTTCATGCCTTCCGTTCTCTTACCCCACCATTTCAGGGAAGAAACGATGGTGATTTAGGCTCCACATACCATGTGCATCAAAGAATTCATCATCTGAGCTGTCATCTGAATCCCTGGCAATGCTCTGCATCCTCCACTCGGAGATACTATGGCGMGAGGGACTTGCTGGAAAAAACAAAAAAGCCTTATGCGAAACGCTACATCGACAAGACGGAGAGTTCCCAACATGATCTTTGCTGGAGGAAGAATCATGTGTTCTGTATGAAAATTCACTGCTGCAATATTAAAAAACACAAAACCCCGATGATGCTGGTGTGATGTCAGTGTACCGCTTTACAGATCCTGTTTGTTTACTGTTGGTAGAACCTGCCAGCAAGATGTTACATTAAAGCAAAGCTGCTTGGATCCCTCTTCTGCTATTTTGAATGGCAGCTATTTATAATTGTTAGTAGGACGTGCAAAATCAGCTGGGTTTTAAAGTTTGCAATTAGGAAGGAAGCAGGCTGATTGGAAGCTTTCTCYGTGCCTCTCATCAGCACACAAGCCGTGCCTCTGCTTCGCTAACTTTCGGGTGGGCAGCTGAGCAGAGCAGCCTGGAGAGGAATAATCTGTTTTCTGGAAGGAAATTGCTTCCACACAAATTGGATTAGAGATCTACTTAAACTTTAAACTTGAATGATTTAAACAACATGCTACCTGACTACTTCAAAGGGAGCTGTCGGAGCAGCGGTCCTGACAGAGAAAGGAGAAACCCCRAAGTCCTTTTAGTGCTGTTTGCCCTGCTGTTCTTACACCTACCTGCTCCCTTTCACTTTCCCCTCCAGACTTCTCTGAGCTAAATATAAACACATTATGGCTTCTTCTTTTCTCTTTTTTTCAGATTTAATTTAGCAACGATCCAGCCTGAGCTCTCCTTGGCTGAAGTTGTCACAGAACTGCCGCCTGCAGAAGAGAGCRCTGTCCAGAGAACGATGGCAGAGAGGGTTTGTCCCCTCGTGCCTGTCACACAGCGCACACAAAGCGCTCACAGCAGCCACCTAACCCAGCAAAAACCTGAGGAGACTGACAAATTCTCATTTAGCATATGCAAGAGGCTGCAAGGCTCCGGTTACTGTGACAGCCGCACGAGCCGCTTCGTGCTATTGTTCCAGCAGAGTTGAATAGGTAAGAAAAATTCTTCCAATCTCCCAGGAGGGTGTCACATGGAACGAGGATGGAGACCCTGTGCAGAGCCATGGAATTGCAGCTCAGCAGCCCCCAGAACCCACCCTCGGGAGCAGGCAGAGAGGAGGTGGTGGAGCAGAGCTAATTCACGCCGGAGTGACGTCAAGGCACTGGCATAATGGTTGCTAAAAATAGTGCAGCTCACAACATATGGGCTGGGACAAGGGTCCTGCCATCACCAGAGGTCTCGCTGGGGTGGTGGAGACAAGGAGATCTTTTGGAGAAAAGGCTTTTTTTTTTTTTCAGCTGGAGGTGGTGGTGCGTCGCGACAGCCCTCCTTGCTTCCATATGGTAATGTGCTGCCAGCATGAAGGAGGATTAAAATATCTGCGTGACGTACTTCCCAGCACATCACAATTAATTTCTTTCATTACTTTTCCTTGTAAAAGCTGAGACATTCTGCACTTGAAAAGAAATGCATGCTTTGCTCCCAGTGAAAACCTTCAAGTGAAATCCTTGGGGTCTGAAAACTCCAACTCGCAGCGAACATGTCAGCAGTGAAACAGGGGGATTGTGCAAAGARCATAATGGGAGATGGGTGCATCAGTATAAAATCCTGGTGCAGGCAAAGTAGCCAGTATTTTTATCTTTATGCAGTGATTTATGAAGCATCTGGTAGGTTCTTCCCTGGGGCTCACTCGAGTGAGTCAYTGCAAGGTAAAACTACTGCTCCTCTCTCATTCACCCTGCGATGAAATCAGTGATGGAGTGGGAAATAAAAATGGAGACTCAGCTCCCAACAGTTAGTGCATATGATAGATGGAGAAGCTTCACTCACCCAGATGTTCCCTTCCACCGTTCCACCCATTTCTTCACTGGAAGAAATGCTGCCCCTTGGTTTTCAGAAAAATCAAGATTTTTTTTTTCCCTCTCTTGCAGTGAGAGCTGCTATTTCCCTGCTACCAGCAGCACTTGGCTAAACAGAGAGGGAATTGCTCAAGGTTTGAACCTGGTGGCTGTAACTCACCAGGGATTCACCCCTTCATACAGAACGGTTCAAAGAAAGGAAGAGTTTAGTAGAGCAGAACGAGGTGAGTCCCAAGGGAGAGGTGACTGACAAAATCCAAGGCTCAAAGCTGAGTCCTTACAGGGTATCCACAGCAGAGCTTTAACATCAAAATCCTGAAAGCTTCCTGAATGGTGTTTCAAAGGGAATACAGACATGATCCACAGTCCCACCCAACCCCAGGGTGTCTCCAAACAGCTACTGCACATCAGCACCAGTGGAAGGTGGCAGCACCCACACACCTTTGGGGTTCCTGCCTTCATCTCCCCAGCAGCTGAGGTGTTTCACTGTGAGAGCCCCAGTGCACCCCACAAAGCCAAACACCCCTCCTGAAATGACAGGCAGGAGGTGGCAAAGAACCCTGGCCAAGGAGCACAGGCACCTGCTGTGCTACAGGCATCAAGGACAAGCAGATATCCAGAAGGGAACACCATGGAAGGGCCCTACAAAACCACCAGGGGCTCCTGGGTAACAAAAACTCTGAGCCTCTGGTTCTTTTGAGCCCCAGTGCTGCCAGCCAGCTCCTACCTGCTCCTCTACGGTGCTTTCACAGATTCTGTGCTTTTGACATCGGCAAAAACTCCATGTGATGCTGAGTCACAGTAATGGGATGACTAGAAACATTCCCAAACCCAAAACACATCACCTGAAAAGACTGAACCTGCAGCAGCAGCAGAGGAAGCCTCTGAGCTAACAGGACTCATAGGACAAACACACATTATCCCAAAGACAGCGCCCACAAGGAGACAGAGTCCAACCTCCCAAAAGCCCAACCTCCATGAGTTCAGAAAAGCAAGTCACTGGCAGCATCTTACCTCCTCTCTTTGAAGACCGTGAGGATTTGGAGGAGGTGGACCATTGCTTGGTGAGTGACCTGCCAGAGGCCCCGTCGCTGTTCGCAGAGGCRTCCTCGGTGTCAGCAGGTGACCCCGTGCTGGCCTCCACGTCCTTCTCCCCAGGAGTGTCCTTGACACCGTGCTGCTCTGCCTCATTCTCACTGCAGAACTGGGCCATCTTCTGGGCCAGCATCAGCTGGGCCTCCTTCTCCAGCTGCCGGATGTCCTCGATGGTGAGCCCGTACCACTCGTCCTGCCAGCACCAGGCCTGTCGGTGYGCCCGGACCATCACCTTCCGCAGCCCTGCAGAGCCAAAACGTCCTTGTCACAGAGCCACAAACTGCAGGGACCAACGTGTTCCCCTCCCAAAACCTCACACCACCACGGCAGGGACATYGCAGTGACATCCAACCCTTCACACAGGGTGGCAAACTGGTCACTTCATGTACTTTGTCTTCTCAATTCTTCCTAATCAACCACGAACTGAAAAATCAGCCAGTCTTCTGTGACTGCTTTTAACTCAGGATTTCCTAATTTTGGATAGAAGAYTTTGTCCTGTGGCTGCCTGCTTCACCAATAAGCCACACACAGACCACAGTTTTAACTCCCTGAAGTTTAGGAAGTTGTAACATCTGAGTCTGGTCTTCCAAGTGAAGTATGTTCCAAGGATTAAAAAAAAAAAAAAAGAGAAAAGAAAAAAGAAAAAAGCTACTGTTTTTTTTTTAAATCCTGGAGAGTTTCAAGTCATTCCTTGATGAATGCTCCACAGCCCTCCCCAACTGTTACATGACAGAAGCACACACATCCCACACCAGCAGTGCTAAGACTAAAATCCTTCCTTTCCTTGGAAACCTGGTTTCTGCACCTGGTTTCTATGCACCAGTAAAACAGCATCACAAATGGAAGCTTCTGAGATAATGGGATAGAAAGCAAAGTAAGGGAGGGAATAAAGACRCTTTATTTTGCAGATACCATCTGTCTTCTGCTGCAGGAGAAAAATGGAGTGGGCAAAGGCAATTTAAAGTATTTCAACATATCACTTATCTSAAAGGAAGAACAGCCTCAGTATCAACACACAATGCACCTGACCAGGCAGCAGATACTCTCCTCAAGACTGAGACTCACTCACTGACACCATCACATCCCCAAGACCCTTAAAACATGAGTGTCACTCAGGATTTTCACCAATATTATTCCTTAAAAGCTCACAACAGGTCCAAACTCTAAACTGCTATTTATTCCTGATGGAATCACACARCAGTRATGATGCTTTTAAAGCTTCTGTAMATACTGACCAASTGATCCTCAAGAGTCTTTCTGACAATAAATAATCAATTAATATTGTCCCCTCTTTAACTGGGRACATCCTTCTGCTCTAAAGATGACAATCCTTAATGCCACAAGTCACCCCAAGCCAGGAAATGGCCACTGAGATCAGCAGCTAAAGCCATGGACCAGCTCATCCTGAACTTCATTTACAAAGTCAGATTAAATCTATCAATATTTGATGCATTTTGCTGACTGACTTTTAGAAGAGAGAGGCAAGTTTGAGTGTGACCTTCTGGAGGCAGAATGACAGCCCTCAGCCACTTAATTCTGTTCAACCTGAGTCGAGATTCAGAGTTATTTCCCCTGCCAGATTACTTTTTGCAGAACAGGAGAATGTTTTAGCCTCTTCACCTCCTGTTATGATTGACAACCAGCAGAGCTTAAAGACGAAGATTAAATTCACATCACATCCACACTGAAAGCCAAGAAAACATTTCTCTTGCTGTCCCCAGCACCACTCTTTGGATTTCCACATCCTCAGTGGCCACTTCTTGCTTGGAGCACCTTGAAAACAGGCTGGGATCAGATACAGAAATCAGTGCTGCTCTCATCCCAAGGCTTCCCCTGTTCAAGGGCTCAGCAGGTTCCACTCCTGCTCCTGGATCCAGCCTTGATGTGTCTGCACCAACTCCTCAGAAATTCTCTGMGACCACATAGCTGTGTTTTAATGGACTAACATCACAGGGAACATGAAAATCACTYGGGGGTAAAAAAAAAAGGCTCTTGAAGTTCCTCTGCCTTCTTAGATCTCAAAAATTGCCTGCGCTGCTTCCTACCAACCCACAGACCTCCCTGTGTGCCCTGCTCATATCCCTTTGATCAGACATCCCAAACCACCCTTCCTTAAAGCTTTGCTCCTTTGAAAATAGGATGGAACTACAGGACTTCACAGCTGGTGTGTCTCTACCCCTCCAGGTTAGTTAGGAAGTCAAAAAGACAGATTATTTTCCCAGCCTCTGGCCTTCACCTGGGATGTGCCAGCAGCGCTGCATTTCTCTTTCTTTAACACAAGGAGAAAACCTGGGGGAGAATGAGGCTGTGGAGGTACAAAAGAAATGGAAAAATAAAGGTCATGGCTTGCAGAAAAGGCTTCAGTGCTAGGGAAGAGAACTTGAGGGGCTCCTCACTGAATTTCTGCCCAGCCTGCAGCTGCAGCCTCCCTGCAGAGACCCTAGGAGCACCACACAGCTACAGGGGGCCAGGACCCAGCTCCAAATTACTGACCTGCTCTGTCCAGACCTGCTTTTCTCCCTGTGCAATGGGAAAAAATAAAGTCTCAAAGCATTTTTGTATCAAAATGTTAGAGAAAAACATGTTTTTTGTTGAAAAGGAGGGGACACACTTAACCTGGAAAAGAGTGTAATTGGGAAAAATTCCCTTTGTAACAGATGCCCATCAGGAGAGTGCTGAGGGAATCTGYAGCCCAGCTGGCTTTCCTTTTTCTCCCTGGAAGGAGAAGGTGTAAATGTGTCCTGCTCAGCCAGAGAAGTCCCTGTCACACTGTCCCAGCTGCATCACAGTTGGAACTTYGCCTTGCCAGCAGGTTTTCCCCCTCCACCCAACATGCCCCAAGCTCATCTGAGCCTTCTGCCCCMGAATCAGAGCAAAACCCCACAGCCTCATCAGGCACCTCACTCAAGTCAACCAGAAAAAAATGGGAAGASGTTTTTTCCCCAGGATGCAGGTACCAGCTGATTATCAGTCATTAAACAGACTATTATTTCTCCAGAGCACAATGCTTTCATAAAAAAAACAAACAAACAAGAACACCACACATGCACAAATGTGCAGGCTGAGCTCAGAGTACCCGTCATCATGTGTTGATTTAATTATTGTAACATTTCCCACTGTGCTGTGCAGAAAGATCATCTGTGAAGAGCTGAGCAGGGTGCAAACATTTAAATCACTTGGTTTACAGCTCACCACCTCAACAACTCAGAGGCTGCTTGAATCCAGGAGGTGCTGACTCCTATAAATGATTTGTGGTGTTGGACTCCATCACACAAAAGGAAGTGTAAATGGCCATGAGATAAACCAGGACAGAGAGGAGTCTTCATGTGCATTTTAAAAGGTTTGGTCTATAGTCCTGGGGTTGTTTTTCAACATGAAATAAAAAATAGTAACTGTAATAAGAACTCGGTGAAAAAAAATCAGAAAACCAACAAATTCTGCCCCAAATGCCCTCAACATCCAAACGAAGCAACTGTTCAGATACACATTGACTCTGTACCCAGAAGCAACTTCCCAAGTAATTTTATAATGCAGTCACCATTTCCTGACAGCAAATACAGGATGCCTGACTGTCTGTGTGCAACACAATTTCCCTGACAGTCCCAGGGAYTGTCACTAACCTGTCAGCACAATGCAATGCCACCTGCACTTACACCTGCTTGTTCCCCTGCCCTCCCTCGCTCAGAATCCTCACAAAGAAAAGCCTGTGGTCACATCCACATCATTCCAACTGCCTCCTTTGGAAAGACAAAACTCTGCCTTTGGGATGCAGTGGGCAGTGRGTGAACTTAGTCATCTGAGTGCTTTGGTGAAGCCAAAGTTCTGCAAAAGAGCGTTCAAAATCCACTTCACTGCGCAGCAATTTGGGCATATTTAGCCTAAGACACAGTGGATTAGACAAAGCTGCAGTTCCTGGGATGGAACACACTTTGCCACAGTATATAATTAATAACCCATACACAGTCAACACACTTGTTTAACAACAAAAGACTYCGAGCCCACATGCACCATTAGGAAGCAAGTGGGAGCAGAACATTATGCGGTGCCAGTCCAATTAAACTTAAAATCTATGGGAAAGGAGTAAAAAAGCATACAAATATTACAGCCAAGTAGACTAATAGCCCACAATCACAATTTTAGTCTGTGTCTCAGGCTGTCAAAGCACTGAGTAACTGTCCAATTAGTCATGGGAAAGAATGGCTGCTGCACTCAGTACGAGTGAGAACGTTTCAACACCGTCCCCCAGAGTTACTCCCTCTGTGCTCAGCAGCCTTTCCACTGCACAAGCCATCCATCATTTACCTCARACCTGCTCTTTTTTCAACCCAGTCTCTAAATTTAGCTTGCACCACAAAGCATCGCTCCCCATTGGGCAGAGTTTGGATCCTGCTGTTTGTTTCTGCCTCCGTTTTCTTGCTGGCTTGGTATGGGCTAATTCCYCAAGAAATAAATTTGCACGAGTTGGGAACAGAGGAGCCAGGAGGAAAATGCCAAGGAAGGAGGGCCTGGCCCACCAGAACATCTCTGTCTCCTGGGAACACAATGCACAAAGGTTTCTCTGCTTTTGGCCACCAGCTGAAAGCCCCACACAGGGATCTGCACCTGAGCCTGGTCAGTCCTGTTGTAACCACATCCTTCCAACCTAAACACCCTCATTCACTGCGGGCTGTGGTACAAATTCTGTGGCACTTTGCCCACTCAAGGCTTCCCCATGGCTATCCCAGGGCAGGGGGAGGCCAAGCAGCTCCTGCACACACCCCAAGCTTTTGCTTTCACTTTTCACTCACTCTACTTTGTCTTGCCTTAAAGACTTTTCTGATTTTATGCATCTTAACCGCTTTGAAAAACACTATTTGCCATCTTTGTAACAGAGTGGAAAAGCTTTTGAAAGGCAGACAATGAGCTGGCTCTGCTCTCTGCAAAGCCTCAATCAAGAGGGAAATGGCAGGCAATCTTCCATGGAATACAAAAGCAATGTTTCTAAGGGACCACAGTTTAATCTATGCCAAACACCTCTGAACAACTGCAAGTGTCACGTGCTCCTTTTCCATTTAACAGATACAATGGAGTTGTTATTCTGCCCCCGTGTTTTCCAGCATACACTAAATTAACCCGTGCCACCGAAACGCCAAGGGAGTTCATTGCAGAGAGGCACTYGTAATACAGTCTAGAGCAGGTAAAAATTTCCATCTCTGCATAAAGAAAAAGCAAAGGAGCTTTAAGAAAACAACCTGTGAGCATTCAGAGAGGGGCACACTATTTTCCACTGCTCTCTCTGACTTTCACATTAGATCTCAGCAGCACGATGTGACTGCAAAGAGCTTGAAAATTACTTATGCTAGCATGAGGAACCTCATGGAGATGTGCATATCAAAGCAGAGTTGTAGAGGCCACGCAGGAGGATTGGCTGTGTACAGAAAGGTGGTAGCATCCTCTACAGAGCCTTTCTTTGGCCTTCCCTTTGCCAGAGGACAGCCAGAGCTCTGCCCTTTGAATGCTCCTTTAAAACACTCCTTGCCTTTTCCACTTGGCAGTGGATCCTGTCATTTGTGGCAAGGCTCAGAAACTGTATCASTTGTTTTATAGATTTTCTGCAAAGAACAAATTACTGCCAGCACTGCCACCACCSGCACCGTCTCCACTTAGTTACTCCTGGACACATCCAATTCCTCCTTAAAAGGCCTGACCTAAGAAGGATGCATCCATCAAATCAGGATGTTTACTCACCACTCAGAGCCACAGAGACCCACCAGCCCTGTCACAAGGCAGGTAGAAACTAAGGATGCTCCAGGGAGTGGTTTTCTGGAACCACTCAGGACTCTGAAGCRAAGCTGATTTCTTTAGGCAGCCCTTCAGGATGGATTTTGGTCACAATAAAGAAGAGTGGCAGAGTTTAAAAATGATCTGGAAGGTTTATCTTAAAAAAAAAAAAAAAAAGAGAATGCAAGATGTTGCCTATACAGGACTTGAAACCTTTTCAGTGGGTACCCATGGTTGGAATTTGTACATACCACAATTATATAAGTGATAGAATAACAGGATGTTTTTCTGAGCTGACCCACAGAGTCATCAGACCTGAGAATCCTTTCACATACGTTTCTTGGAAMGTGATGCATTGCTCACACCTCACCTTCGTGTTTCAATTCAGTGCAAACATTAAGGAGTGAACTTTGCAAGGTCATAAATGCTCACCAACATCGTGGATAAAGCGCTCGATTTTCGACTGCATCCCCCAGTATCTGAACTCCACTTTGCACAGTTTGTATGCACACATGATGGGGTATTTCCCAGAGTTGTTCTTGTACTCTTGAATCCAGTCTTCTGAGAGAGGCCCTCTTTTAGTCTTCACTGATTTATAGAGCTTTGGATCCTCCTCAGCTTTGTATTCATGTGGAGGGATAGTATCTTTAACAATATCAATAAGATCTACAGAAGGAGAATGGGAACAGTTAGACATTTCCTTTTCCTGAGCAAAACAAGAAAACATCATTTTTCATGAGTTATTTCTGTTTTAGTAAGTASCAGAAGCATTACAGCAATTTAGTTTCTTTTTCCTTACACTTAAACAACTGATATTTAAATTGTTTATACACTGCTGCTGGGCAGAGATCAGCTCTGCCAGAGGAACGAGCACACACAGTTCCAGCAAACAGAGGCTTTGCTCCAAAGAGATGTTTTTGCCCACAGTAACTGCAGATCCACAGCACTCTGGCAGCTCTGCACACTCTGTATTTCCAGGTCCACACGGATCTGTTGCACATTCCATCTTCCAGCTTTTCTAATATCACTCACAGTGCAGCTGTCTCAGTTAAACACACCTGCCCTGCTATGGAGCTGACATTACCCATGGAACATCTTATCTTTGGGTCCATCAAATGAGGGCACTGCTAACTCCCCCTCTGCTATTGTTAGACCAGATGTACTGTGGAAAGCAGAAAGTTTAACTAAAGTCCTAATTAACAACCCAACAATGGAGAAGTGGAAGCTGCAGCAGGAGTGGAGTGAATGAATATATTTTAAAGACCTGCAACCCCCAGTGCTCAGCAGAAACATCTGAAGTTTGGACTGAAGGGCAGGATCTCACTTGCCAAGAAGTGACAGATCTGTGACACCTCTCAGTGCAGTGGTGGAACTTGAGTCTGCTCAAGTCCCTGCTCAGACAGGCCCAGGAATGAGGACAGYTGAAGTATAAAAGTACTTTTTCTGAAGTACTTTTGCCTTTTCTCATTAATTCCTTCCATTAAYTCAATCTTCTGAGACAGCTGTGAAGTGAGTGTTAACCTGCATGAGGGCAGGACTRAAAGGAGAGGGAACAATAATTAAATGCACCTTCATGCTTCAAAAGTGCAGATAGGAATAATTTTCATATATATGAAGGAGCCAGACAAACGAACAGAAATGTTCTCAAAATTATGCAGCAATTTTTCTTCCTCTTCTTTGGTTATTTCTACTTATTACCCTCAAATTCATTAGATGCCTTAYTCCTCTTGGGAACTGAATAAATACGATGGAAAAGCATCCATTGAAATCTACAGTTTAAATTTGTGTTTAGGGGGGATGGACAGGCAGATGGATGCACCAAGGGAAAAAAAAATCAAAACAAAGGCAAAAGTAGAGGAAAAAGGCTATTTACCTAAAATGGTCTGTCTTTTTTCTGCAGCAGAAAGGTTGAAYACGTTGCTATGGTCTCCTGGGTCAGTTTTGTAGTATGTCTCAATATCAATTGAGAATTTCTCCACAAAAGGACACGTGTACCTGCGAGCCAGAACAACACAGCTTAGAGTAAATCAGCCTCAAAGCCCAGCCAGCCTCCACTCATGTTTTCCTTCAGATATGCTTAAAATAYCAACTGTAGAGATTTAAGAGATTGTTCTTTAATAACTTCTTAAGACAGGAGCTCATCAGTTTTCAGCAAGGAGATAAATTTTGGGTGCACTATATTGAAAAGATATATTRTGACACAGATACTAATACAAGGACACCCTGGAAATGCATCTGTGAAAAAAGCAAAGCTCCTGCTTGGAATCTATGGCAAAATAAAATATGAACTAGTTCTGTGCAGCACAGGTTTCCTGGCCAACTGATTGACTCATAGGCATTTCAAGAGAAGAGATAAAAACTGACTGGAAGTGAACTTTAATCACTTAAAAGTCAGGCAGCTCCATTATATCCAGTCACTGGCATCAGCCCATGTGCAAACACCAACTCCCCACCCCTCCCAGGACTGATGTTACCTGCAGAGATCAGGTACAACAGAACTAGGAAACTTCTAGATTTTCATAAAAACCAAAATACCCATTAAAGGCTTTTTATTATGAAAGATGACAGGAATATCAGATCTGTAAATCTGAAAAAGGGCAGATGCTCTAAACAGGAGTAACTGGCCCAAAGGTTATTTCAGGGTATCTGAAGCCCTCCCTGACAAAATCAGCTGAAACAAGGAGGTCCCAGAGGGCTCAGAGTGAAACCCATAGGATGTAGGTTTGTTATTTTCTAGTTAAATGGCAGATAGCTCCCAGAAAAGCAGCACGGTGATTATTTATTTATTTATTAAGATATTTCTTTCGCCTGTACAAATGCATCCTGTCTTCCTTGACAGTATTCAGCATGACACCTGTCCCAGCACCTGCACATTTAGAACTCCCCTGAGCCTGCACAGACCTGCAATGTTAAACAGAACACACAGTGCAGGATACAAGACTGAATAAAAAAAAACCCATTCACGATTCCCCACGCTTTGACAGACAAAACAGCTCCACATTTTACAGCAAGGAGCCACAAATTCTCCTTTGGTAAGTGAGCAGTCAGCCCAGGCAAACTCCTGAGATCAGGCACTGTGTAGGAATTTTAGGAGTTGCTCCCAGGACATTATTGAAGATGGAAATGCCACTGCCAGGGAGTGACATCAAACACTACCAGAGGGTAAGAGCTGTGGACATTTTGCCCAGTTTTACCTTGTCCTTGTGTAAGGATAAGCATTCCAGGACTCCTCTTCGACACGCAGAGCTGCTTTGGGCAGGATGGAGCGGAACCAGCTGGGGATGTGCATCCCGATGTGATAAACCTTGTGGGTGTACTGCCCGCTGCCCCCCGGGCCATCCACGTAGGGCCTGTTCTCCAGGATCTCCACCCCGCTGCCCTCCCCGCATGTCTCCTCTCTGCTCTTTTTCTGGAAGGGAAAATATGTCACAAATACATCAGAAAAATGTTCATTTTGCAGGGTATGGTACACACTGACCGGGCTCTCAAAGCGTGTGGATGCTGGGGATGGTTTCTGGGAATCTTTTTGAGCAGAGCAGAATTGTAGCAGCACCCTGGCACCAAGATTACCAAACCTAGAGCTTTTGAAAGGAAAAATGTAGAGACTCATCTAGCCAACATAAAAATAGAGATTTGATTTCTTCAGGACCCTGTGAGAATTTCCATTTGGATCCTCAGTTTAATAGAGATGWAATGACACCTCCTGTTCCTGTAACAGGTAACACATCACACCCCAAACCTTGGCTCCAGCTGTGAACCACCCAAGAGCACAAAAACCTTCAGCAGATGACATAGCCAAGGGGAGTTTGTCCAAGCTGGTGATGTGTCAGCGTGAAGAATCGCACGTGCTCTTGGTGCAGCACCATCTCAGGCTGGACACCAGGAAGAATTCCTTCACTGGAAGAAATTCAGAGAAATATCAGAGCCACCATCCTGCTCAAGAATGACTGGACTGGCACTCAATGCTCTGGTTCAGTTGACAAAGTAGGGATCACTCACAAGCTGGACTTTAAGATCTCAGAGGTCTTTTCMRCCCTCAATGGTTCCATAATCACAATGCTAAAGACTGTTTTATGACCTAAACCCATAGAATTTGGGGTTTTTTTTTTGAGTATGATCTGGCCCAGCTACMGCTCTCCAAGAACAGCTTGGAGACRATGCTCTGCTAATTAAGATATTTAGAAGAAACAACCCAAGTTTGCCAGAATGATCACTGCACCCCCTGGCAGCCTCCGCATTTTGGCTTATTCGTACGACTGTCCTTTAGTGAGAAACCTGGCAAAAATTCCCTCAATAAAAAAAATACTAATTTCAGTGCTTCAAAGAAGAGCTAGAGGCAAACCAAATATTTATTAATTTCTCCCACATTTCAGCAGATTGGATGATGTATAACCTTCATCATTTCCAAACAACAGAGTCATACTGTTAGCATTTTCAGATTATTGTTTGTATTTGAAAGCACAGGACTTTGGAAATCAAGAGGGAAAAAACCAGAATTTTATACCAAGAATCAACTGTGAAATATAAAACAATAACAATTTCTCTTTTTTGGTATACAAAAAATTCAAAGGATAACATGGTTTAACAGAAAATTATTAATAAGCTGCAAGAGATCAACTTCTTATCTTTTGAGGACAGGGTGCTAAGCCAACAGAGCTGTTTAGAAGTAAATAGTCCTGTTTATAAAGAGCTCTTGAGTGATTTTAAATTTAAACAGCCATAACTGACAAGCCTAMATAACTGACAATCTAAATAATCACTTTTTCCTGCCCCACAAACAGCAGTAGAAAAAAAACCAGAAAAACAGAAAACTACTTTTTTACAGTTTATTTCTAACACTCAGCTGGCAGTTCATTAAAGCACACATCCTCTTCTAACAAACYACTGTCTTTCAGTTCTTATATAAACACTAACCAAGTCCTGTACAAATATTTATGACAATAASATTAAATAATCTTGATGACCCCAAAATCTAGTTAATTCAAAGRTCTCAGAAAAGGCAGAGAGTGAAAGAGTCAGACAGAATAACTGCACAGCATCTGCTCTGAACAGTTGRTACAAATTATAGAGATTTAAAGWTTTATTATATGGCAGAAGCACATGSAAGTMGTMAGAARAGGGAAGATGAGYTTTCTTCAAGCCAAGTTATTCAAWARTCCCTTCTAGAYTGCMCTGYTAYGGCAATTYCAGTCAATTCTGCAAGTCCTCATCTGGGRCCAAAATCCACTGAGGAGTTTTACTCACTAACACCATCCTTCCCCACTTCACTTTTCCCCATTCAGCTGGTTTGAACAAAAACCTCTCTGATGAGGATGAGCTGCCTGGTTCTTACCCTGGAGAAAGTTCTTCAMCAGCTGGAACCCTGGGGAACCTACAATATTGATCAATTTTTTCTGTATGTGAATAATTCCATCAGCAGCTTTTTCACACGACCTGGAACTGGTAAAGCTCTGATAGTGGGAGATGGGAGGGTGGCATTGAACCAAAACATTGMGAGGGAAGAAAGGAAGAAAGGAAAAACCCAGTTCACTGAGACTCTCGGTGAAAGTCAGTTCACATCCCACTTCTGATTTGTGGTTATTTTATTCACTTCTATGCAGCTGCAGCAGAACTGCAAACCCTATTTTGGGAGCAGGGTGTGCTTCCTCCTGCAGCCTTTCCAGATGACCAACTCCAGCCCACAGCCTTTGTCACCCAGTTACAAACCTCAAACAAATTTTGGCCCTTCACATTCCTTCTACCTGTCACTTATCTACATAAGGTATGACAAGGGCAGCAAGAACATTTTCTCAGATGAATGTGAAATAAGAGCTGTAGCTCTGCTGACAAAAAAAAAAAATCAAAGATTATATCCCAAACTATCTTTAGAGCCAGGACTTTTGAGTCAGGCCAAATTTATACTCATAACACAACACACTGCTGGGAAGGATAGCACGATCAAAGAGAAACTCCCCAGGATAAACCCACACAAAGCTGCTTCCCAGCCCTCCAGGCTCTCACACTTAGCAGYTGGCTTGTTGAGAAACTGCAGTGAAGTAATGACAGGCCAAAAGTCAGGAGAGATGGTGAACAGTGCAATTAGTGACCACTCACAAAGACAAAAAAATAGGTTTCTCATGTAATAATAATAATAATAATAATAATAATAATAATAATAATAATAATAATAATAATAATAATAATAATAATAATAAAGACATCAGCCACATGCACTTGACAGACCAGGATGGTGCTCTGGGCCTAAGTGGGGCTGTGAAAGTGAAGCACTTTTGGAAGTGAAGTGCAATTTGCTCTGCAGCCATGCAGCCTCTTGATGCCAACTATGCCTGAGCTACAGCCTGGAGAGGGCTTGTTACATGAAAACATGGGCTGTAAGCAACAATTAAAAAATAACCATTGATTAGGAAAACATTTGGCTCAAGAAGTGTGTGGCAGGCCCTGTCCAAGGAATATCTGCTGGAGGTGCTGATGTGCAGGCAYTTTAGGGTCAATCTCGAAGGTTTCAGCCTCAAAGAGAAGGAGAGATTTTATACAGCAGATTACCTGTRTCAGTGCTACTCACTACTGACACAGCAACTTCCCCCTCTGTAAATACCTGAGGAATGGACCCCAATAAACTCAAAGAATAGCCAACAGCCTTTACATGCACGTTATCTAACCCATAATCACAGTAACCCATCCTATATTATGGTACAAGAGGAAATCCAGTCAGCCCTTGCCAAGCCCCTCTCCTGCTGATGACACTCCACGCTCTGCACAGCCCCATCGATAGCTTTTCAGGACAGATGGTGACACAGATCCCTTCGAGCTAAARTAATAGCATTAAATTACTCATAACAGGGAACCCAGAGAAGCAGATGCACCATGATTAGCAAGAATGCCAGTTACTTAAAGGCTTCTATTAAAATAAATCTCTTGGCACAGCAGCATAGCATGGGACACAGCACATGACCTCAGCACAACAATCACAGATGAATAATTCCCATGAATGTYACTTAAGCACCGGGCCAGCCTAACCCCATTTATCATCTGCCCCTCTCAACAGCAGACAAACAGCTGTAAACAAAGCCTTCCCCAGGCAGGTTCATCATTCTCAGACCTTTCCCAGTTAGAAATGTGTCTCTCCTGACCAGCAAACACAGAGCACACCTTGCAAAGCTTTGGTCCAGCAAACAACCCGGCCCAGGCGAACAGAACCAGGTGACACAATGCAACTTGTTGGTGTTTCTAAAGAAATGATGGTTGATGGCAGCAGAACCTCCACAACCTGAGGAGTCTCAGCACAGCTGGAGGAACAGCATTCCCAGAACAGGAATGAACAATGCTGGATAAAACAGTTTGGATGTGGTTTATTGGATCAGCTGGAGAAATCCACAAGTCAAGCCGTGTAAATTAAGATTGCCTTGTAGTGTTTTGCTTTTGGGGAATTAGAAGAAAAACAGCCCCATCAGCCAACTGAGGACACCAAGAAGAATATTAATCTAAAGCAGAGTCCTCCTTGTGTTCCTGCCCTGGAATGCAGCACAGGCTGCTCATGGGCTCAGGTCCACAAGGAGAGAATCTCTGCAAAGCCAACAGCAGCACTGCAAACAGCTCAGCTGGTTTWGTTTCTCCTGAAGTTGTTTTTACTGTAACTACTCCGAGCACTCCAAGTCCAGCAGAGAACAGTAAGGACACGGCAGGCTGTGTAGTGATAATGGTCCAGGCATGTTCTAGCTTTCAAAAATACATTATAGCTATAATCTCACCTTGTTTACCACCSATTATTGTTTACAGAACAACCCCTCCATCTAAATAAGTGAGACAGTGATTACAAAAGGTTGGGATGCTTTAGCTTCCCAATGAAGTTCTTACTCCATCTCAGCAAACACTGCCACAGGACCCACGAGARTTCTGATTTGAGATTACTCCAATTATGAAGACTGACAGCACCASGCTTGACAGATCTATCATCCATGGGTAAGGAAGACACAAATCATTGTCTGGAAACAATAACCACAAGATTTTATTTGCGTTGGTTTTTGTTTTCCCCTCCAGCTCCCATTTGGAAACAGGGTATTTTGATAGTCCAGACAAAACTCTTCTGGGGGAATGCATTAAAATAACACTGAACTCTTGGGATTTTTTTTAGCCCACTTAGACACAGATAGTGATATGAGAAGTTTCCAGCCATCTGATGGTTTCAGTTAACAAGGACAGCAAAGACATCTCTGTAACCACAGAACAAGAACATGACAGCAAATATCCCCAGAGGACCCTGCTAACATACTTGCTCATAYTGTTGCAGCAAGGGAGGCTGAGAAAACATTCTCTATGACCAATTACTATTTTTTTATTGTTTTGGATGCTAAGGCTACCATAAACACCAATTAAGTCTCCAGAAACAGGACCTGTCCTTTGGGAGCTAGA